GACTGCCATAACTGCTTTGGCTTAGCCTTTAAAGGCTGAGCCCGCTTTCAAGAATGAGTTATGGAGCTCATATAATACGTGATCCAGTAGTGAAGAAAAAAGCAGAAAAAATCATGGAAAATGCCCTATATAGAACCCTATGCTGGCCAGGTGGGCGGGGCGGCCGACTCTTCACTAACGGCGCTATCCTCTCGCCTTTTTGAGATGCAAAACTAGTACATACTGCATCCTCATAGGGAGGGCTATGATATCCAGAGAGGGCGCGGGAACATCAAATGAACGTGGGCGCTGCCTTTAATTGAAATTTCACCAAAATTGAATGAGTAGAATCGAATTCAGGCCTGTTCCTCCGTTAGACGAGCTGAAGAACGTCGAATGGAACAGCGAAGATAGTCCATCTGGTGTGCCGGTGATTCATGTTGACGATGACAGCACAAAACGGGCCGTTCACCGTGCACCTGATCGCCGGCGGATCTAGGAAGTCTACTAGGATTGCTCACACAGTTTCTTCTCACGTCTCGAGAGAATTTTCTCTCACACATCTCTCGATGTTGCCATTGCGGGTGTACGCATTGCGCTCACATTGCGTTCATATTGCGTTCACTTACGTTAGGCTGTAAATTCATCTATGAAATCTCAGGCATTTACCACTCATACATGCGATATGACTTGACATGCACATAACTTCAACTGAAATGGTCAATCATTGCTCATCAATTAGAATGTTCCATGCTCTGTCGTTCCTTTGGATGGGTCCTTATACCGGAGATGGAAGCAGTTTGAGGGGTGTGATAGTGTGGACAGAGGAATGGGCGGGAATTTCCAACCATCGTGACATCTCCATTAGAGCAGAGCGCCCTATTGCACGGGGGGGGGCATTTTGCACTTTAAACGACTTCTCCATCGACGGGTCGACCCATCTAGACAGCCTCTTCTCGAGTTGACAGGTTTTACCATGATGGCTTGACGAGCTTGCTCCAACTTCACAAGAAATCTCAGTTTCACAGACTGCAACTGTGTAAACCAGAACGTATGAACAAGAAAGTGCATAGGAATCCTCCCCCCTCCCCGGCGACAAACTTTCCGCCGGATGTGTGGCGTTTTGCCCATCAGAGTCATGTGGCCTCGAAGCAGTCGGACATGTCAGCCGCGCATTTTTGGCTGCCGCCAGCACTTTTCCAAGCCGATCATTTGTGTTCGAGCGTTGTTCAATGAGCGCGTGAGATGGGGCCTTGCACGGCGCCAAGAATCATCGCGCATGACACGCCTCGAATTGAACTTCAGTGGAAGCACTGATACTCCCGCTTCATTCAATCACTACTGTGCTAAGTGGCATCTCGAGGAACTTTAATGGTTTGACATGGACCGCGTTTTGAAGTGGACTGACTTACTGACCGATCGTAATCCCGAATGTCCAGTCAATACCATTCCTCCTGTTCGCCCTCATGCTTATCACCACTTCCCACATGGAGGGTACGCTGTAGTGCTCTCAAAATTTGAAGATAATCGCCTTGAATGTCTACGGGGTTCTAGCCGATCGAACTTTAATTCCGAGACCTTGCACTCCTCTACCTGGGGACGAGCAGTGAAATTCCTGGAAACTGAGAATTCACGCAACTATTTCAAGGATGCTGTGTTCACCTTTACAAGCTCACGGTCTATATCTGAAGGCAACAACCGTGAGCCAGGGCTAAAAACGGGCAGTGAAGTCACAATCAAAAGGATGTCAGTGCGAAATCTAGCTGTCCCCGAACGCCTGTTTTTCTCCCTTAGGCATTGTTCACAGTCTGCGGTCCAGCGTTTCTCTGGAAAGAAGCGGTTCGGCGAAAAGCTTTCGATACGTATCGATTGGCGGTTGGGCGAAGAGTCTGGCGGTTGGGCGAAAGGGTTTTGATACGGGCGTTTCGCCTTCGCGAAACGCTAGCTCGATCGCCCTGGCGTTTTTCGCCAGCGAAATCGATACGCATCTATTGCTTTTCGCCCAACCGCCGAACCGCGGCGGTTCGGCGAAACTAGCGGTTGGCGATTCTCCGATCGATGACTATTTTTTGCTTTTCTCCCAACCGCCGTTTCGTCAGGGTCGCAGACTGTGAACAATGCCTTATGGTTACGGTACCTATCCAAGGAACGGGCAGACGTCTCCAATATGATGTAAACACTTGTAGAAATGATTCATCCTACCCAATACAGATCATAATATGTGATTATAAGAAATGTGTAGGCTACGATTATATACGTAGTTACAAACATATCGATCGATTGATTGGTAACCATTCATCAATGTGATTTATCTTCCCGAATGTGCATTTTTGTTCCCCTATTGTGTATGTTGATTTTTGATTGATATTGCTCGCCAGTCAGCTACATTTCAACGTTGTTTCACTTACAAAATTTTATCAATATATGTTTACTAATTGTTGATTTCGGTGGTAATTTTTATATTGAAAACAATCAAACCGGAGGAAAATCTACAGTAGTGTTTGCTGCAGAAGATAGGGCGTGTTAGGGGTGGGTTTGACGCCGCGCTGGCTTGTTTCTTTTCTTCTTTTCTCTTTCAAGCGACAAGACGGTCATATCGTTCGTCTCAGGCGTTTTCCGCCAGTTGTCGTCTCTCACCCGCTTTAACAACTAGTAGAGAACGGACTGGCGGTGCATCAAATCGACCCACACTTCCTATCATTCGCAGCGAACAAGCCTGTACAGTCGCTATTGGTGCGTCATGTGAAGGCGTCCGCTATTGGTTCGTCATTTGGAGGCGTCCGCTATTGGATCGTCATATAGAGACGTCCCTGCGTTTCGGCGCGGCAACAGCCCGTCGCCACTATGGGGCTGGCAGTTGTTGATAGAAAAAGACTGACGCCGCGTTCTAACGTATGTGAGTAGTGACGCCCCTCTTTACCCGATGCTACGATGAGCAGTTTACAGTCTTATTCGCTGAGGATGATGGGGGTATAAAACGGGGATAGGCTTAGAGGCGTCGGCC